TGGATACATAAATTCTCTTCCGTAACTTGTTTAGATGAGGCAAAGGTTAATTTCTGTTCTGTATGATGTTGCATCCATGGGATCCCCTCTTTAAGACTTCTGATCCCATATGCTTTTAGGCCATAAGTTCATTCTACAATTCGAATTACCCAATTTGTACTTTAGATTACCAGCCACCATGAAGCAATGGATCAGTTCCTGCACTTTATAAAACTTACTACATAACAATGAAATAAGATGCATGAATTTCTATAGCAATGGAAGACCCTTCAAATTTATTATGCTCTTTGGTGCATGTGGCGTCCAAATCATGAACAGGGTTGAGGAGAAGAAAAAGTTGTATTTCAAGCATTTCACCATGTCATAGGCAATATGGAAAATGGATCGAGTACCTGTTGTGCTGCGGATCTCCTGCTTTGAATAATTCTCTGCATTCTTTTCACTCTGAGCCTGTACTTATTCAAGCATGATGGCAAAACTTAATTAGTAAGGACAAACATGTAATATATGCACGGAGTTGTTCCCTTGTATCATAGTACAATACACCAAGAGATATTATAGTAGATCTATTCTTACCTTGAGCTCCTCCGTAATCCATCTATTTTCAGCAAGCCATTGCCAATCACTCTCAGATATAGTAAGTGGAAGACCCTTGTTACGCTCGTGATCCACTTGCAAATTGTGTCTATGTTCCCTATACTGTCTTTGCATATGTTTTAGCACGAACCCGCAATCTTTCTCCGATAGTCCACAATGATTCCAGTAGCATCAGAAACAAAAGGAAAAATGCACACATCATAAAAAACAAGTAACTCAACGGAGAAAATGCATCCCATCACTCAATACATTAGTGAAAATCACAGTACATGTCTCAAGAATGAACAGTTGGATCTTGCAATGTAAAGAAGTGAGGTTTTTACCTAATCTAGAAAGGAAAAGATACCCAAAAAAAAAAATTTTGTATAGCCTCGTGATAATTTGCTTCTCCCTCTATTTCAGTATCCTCCACCTCTTCTTTTATCTCATCATCATTATCTATACTTAGTTCACTTCCTTTTAGATCACGACAACTCAACTCGACCAAACGTAGTCGGAGGAGATCAGTGGCGGTGACCCAACCTGGAGGACTTATCTTGACTAAACTTCATCGGAGGCGTCAATTGAGAGAAAACGAATATTTGTTCCTATAGGCCAAATGCATTTGTATCTCAATTGAATATTTAAATATTAAAGCACACATTCATCTAATAATTTATGTTTTTTGAACAGTCGACAGTGTCCCCCACAAAATCTGACATGATATCAGAGTAGGGCGTCCTGAGTTCGAATCTTTCTAGACTTCTATCTACCTCCCTAATAAATATTTCCACGCTAGTAATAGGCAAAATGACCCTTTTTCAAATAGGGTTAATATCACAAAAACCCCAAACTAGTAGACTTGTGATAAATTTACTCCGGACTAATTTTTTGATTGCCAAAAACCCCAATGACAAATTTACCCCAAACAAATTTTTTGACCACTAAAAATCCCAAACTCGTACACTTGTGACAAATTTACCATCCGTTAAATTGGATTAATACCACGAAAAATCACAAATTGGTAAATCTATGATAAATGGAGAGGTAAAATCCCAAACTGGTATACTCGTCAACTTTCATATGTCATCCAACTCAGCAATTTGACAGTAAAATTTAACGTAAACTAACGGAGGGTAAATTTGGCAAATGTGTACCAGTTTGGGGTTTTTGGTGGTAAAAAAATTAGTTTTGGTAACTTTTTCATATGTGTACCAGTTTAGGATTTTTCGTGGAATTAATCATTTTAATATTAGACCACGCCTTTATCTAATAACTTAAACTTTTAGAATAGTCGGCAGTGATATCACAAATCTCACATGGGATAAGTTAGACAAGATAGAAGACCACATGCCTTTGTCAGATTGAAAAAAAAATTGGGAGAGAGAAGTGGGAAAATATTAAAGGTAAAATGAAATATGAAAGTGAGAAACTAGACTAGAAATTTCATTTTGCTTTAACCCAATTAGTAAATCACATTTTTCGACCAAAAAAAATCGCATTCACATTTCTTAATTAAATTATAATAAGGCGATTTTATAAGTCTTTTGAATGTCAATTAAATTACCGATCGGTGTATAGTCTCATAATAAATTTCCCCTCTTGTATTGTTACTTTCTTGAAAGACGTTTACGAAGACAAGAAATTTGCACTTATTTTCCCTTTTGAAAGGGATATATAGATTTCCAAGAAACTTGTGATAATTATAAGGGTTATGTTCTTTTTTTTTTGGGTCAGAATTAAAACGATTATGTGTTAACAATGTTTCAAGCCAACTTATTTTAAGAAAAGTCAATATATTTACCATTTCCTCTGGAAGTTTTAACAAGATAGTTTCACAAAATCCATAATATAATTTTTTGTATTAAGGTTGTACCAGGTGAATGAGAATAACATTAACACGTTGTGGTTAGGATATGAATTGAAAACTCCCTGAAAAGTCCATGATATAAAAAAAAAGTTTCCACCCATGTTTGAAAAGTCTACACTATCACCTACTTATCTGTTATCCTTTCTCTCTTAATACTTTAATCCCAATCTCACCGCACAAAAAAAAATAATAAGCACATAATTTATTGAAATTACGAATAAATGTTTTTTTTTTACAAATTTAAATTCTCTTTTTCTCGGAAAGAAATCGAACACTCTTTGTCTACCTCTCTTGGATTGATTTGCTTTGTTTGTACCTTTTTTTTTTTCATTGGCCAATAGATATCTTGTCTTGATTAAGTTGTGATGAGCATGCACATCTTTTATTAAGGGTCCGTTTACACTCACATACTCTTGGAAAGTTGTGATCAGATCAACTAATAAATGGTTATAATATTCACAGTCTAGATTTACTACTAATTGCCTTAGTTTCTTTATGAGCGCAAATTTCGATCGATCAATTAAGAAATATTTTTATTCTTAATTAATTATTTCTAATACATCGATTAGCAATTTATTTGCTTCAAACTGATCCATTTACTATTGATTATTTGATCAAATAAATCCTTTATAATAATATAGTGAAGAGTCAAATATTTTGACACATTTTCGTGACGTTGAATCAAATCTCTTAAACTAAGCTCGGTTATGTATAGCTATATTATAATTGTATATAAATGTAGAATTCAGTTGAACTACACATAATGACCGTGTACGTATATATTTTAAGACCAAATCTAAAACAAACAGATTATTTGTAAAATTACAGAGTTGAGAACATTTTCATTTCATAAAGATTTGTTGCCTTCTTGGTATATTTATTGTAAGTAGTGGACTAATTATCAACTTTCTTGGAAATTTTAATTGATTATTAGGTCACAATTACGTGCATCATCACCTGCGAAGTCGTTCTTTTATTTTTTTTATTTTTTTATTTTTTGTTTGCCCTTACAAGTTACAATCACCTCCCAGTCATCAAGTAAATAAAAAGCCCTAGACAATTAAATTAGTAATTATTTCAAATTGATAAAACAAAAAAAGCCCTATATAAAAAACTTAGTGATTACATCAAATATATAATAATTTGAGATCTCGCAAAATACAAGGTGGTACTGATTAATTTCGTCTCGAAACAATTAAATTATGTGGTTCGAAGCTATTGAAAGCGAATGAACATTTTTTTTTTGTTAATATGGAATTGCTCTAAAAGATAATCTCTTTCTTCATCCCTTCTCTATAAATTGAAGTTCTTTCCTTTCTTCACGGTCAACACGCAAACCAGCTTCCACGACTGAAACACAACGGTCACTTCTCTCTCTTCTCTCCCTGTCTCTCTCTGTTTTGAATAGGAAGAGCAGCGAGAACAGAGACGTACATTACCTCTTTGCTCTGTCTCTCTTTTCTCCATTGAAGCTCTGGGGGTTTATCGAAATTTGCAGAGGGAGGAGATCTTGGTCGACCGCATTGTGAATCGGTGAGTGCTTTCTCTCTCCAATAACCCTAGGTTTATGTTTTGGTCAAAAGCGGTTTATTGAAATCTCCGTAGTTCTGTGGTGCCCAATTGTCTCTGTTTTTTGTACTCCTGTTCTCTGTTCTCTGTCTGCGCGCGATCTCAAGTTCTCGTTCAATTATTTGTTCTGTTTCTTGCAAAATTCGATGAAGAATCGCCCCCCCACACCTTTCTCTCTCCTCTCTCTCTCTCTCTTCTATCTCTGGAATTGCTCTGAAATTTTCCAGCGACATTTCTGGTGAATTTATGTTATCCTCATTGTTTTTTCTCCTGGTTTGTCTGGATTCTGACATTTGGAGGTTACTCTCAATTACATCCTTTGACGGTGTTCCATTAGGGCAAGACATAAAAGGGAAAAAGGAAACAGGGCAAGAAAGAAGCCATACATAATGTTGTTTGAAGAGGAGAAAACAGGGACGTGTTTACAAACCATTGATCGATTTCTTTTCACGATGTCAAAGATTATTTAGGCGTGAATTATGCAGAGGAAAGCCTCCATTGAGGACCAAGGTTGTTTGCTTGAAGTAACACTGCACCATCAGTTTACTGTTCAAGACATTCAACCAACTTCAACTGTCTTCTATTTTATTTTCATTTATTTATTTTTTATTTTTTGCTTAAATATATGCTTGAATTTTGGAGTTCTCCTCTGTTGGTGGCTATATCTGGTTTTTTCATTTGCTCGTCCAAAAATCAACATCCTTTCTGAATTTTATTTTTAGATATTCAGATAGAGACAAAATCATGAATTAGCGCTTGAGGATTGCTTGGTGATCGATCCATAATATCTTTGATGCAAATTTACAGTAAAATTTTTTATCGGGTTATAATGAAGAATGTTTTCTTTTGTCCCCTCTTTATTTTTTAATTTTTCTTGTCCCTCGTTTACCAAGAATAATTGGTACAAGTCTATTTTTTCTTTCCTAATTGTTGCTGTTTCTACTTTTTGCAGGATTTATGCAAAAAAAATTAAAAACTTTGAGACATGGGTCATCGTAAATTGCCTTTAGAGCTTATCCCCAATGAGAAAGCACGTAGGATCACCTACGAGAAGAGGAAGAATAGCATAATGAAGAAGGCCCAAGAGTTCACCACCCTATGTGGTGTCGACACATGCATGATTATTTACAGTCCCGAGGGATCCGCCACCAGTGCCAATGAACCCAAGGTTTGGCCCGCGAACCGCGAGAAGGTAAAGCACATCATCGAGCGGTACATGATTTAGGGGGCGGACCGCCGTGCCAAGAAGACAGTCGGGTTGCCCGACTTCTTCGTGAATCGGAAGAGGAAGGTCGACACCGAGCTCGCCAAGGCCCGACTGGCCAAATGGAAGGCCGAGTACCCGATCTTGGAGGCGTTGATTGAGGGCCTATCCAAAGAGGACCTAGAGAGGCTATTGGGCTCTCTGGGGCACAAGCTCGAGGCGGCCAAGGTGAGGCTGGCCATACTGGAAGAGGATGCAATGAGGAGATCATTGAGCCGCACAAATGATCATCACGCACATGTAAATGATCATATGCATCATCATCATCACATGGACGCCTCGTTTCAAGATGACTGCCATTTTGGTGATGTCCCTCCTGGACAAGACTTTCATTTCGCCACCCCGGAGGGGACGATACTTTTGGAGACATCGTCGTATGGCCCCATCATGGGCAACATGCCACTGGAAGGCACTCCGAGCTTTGGGACGTGCTATGACGAGCTGATGGTCCAACCAGCCTCGCTCCTCGTGCCGCTCTCGGTGATGCAGGCTTCGTCATGAGGGGATTTTCAGTTTCTTGATTATCACTAAGATTCTGAGAAAGAAGAGCACACGGTTTGAGTTGCTTCTTCATGCATTATTGCGTGATTTTAGCTCTTCCATTAGTCGGTTGAATTTTAATGTGTAGATATGTCAATACTTTTACTACAGCAAGGTCGTTACTATTAGGGGCGAAATACTTTGTTTCTCTCCTCATTGAATTGTTCGTATTAGATAGCGAGGAGTCTTGTAATTTTTACTTTTTGGTTGTCCAAAAAGATGGACAAAAACGAAAATAAATAAATAAAATCTGGCGGGATGTGGTTTTGCTCATTTCCATTAACCTCTCTGGATTTCTTTTTCTATTATTCCGAAAGTGTTAACAGAAGAGCCGTGAGATGATTTGCTTCAGAAACACAAATTCAGACAACTAGCAACTATCAATAAATGCTTTCAAGGACAAAGATAAACATAACACACTCCCAAGTCACAAATCCAAGTTGTTTCATCGTCCACTCTAGTTGAGTTGCATGCGAGTGCAAGCTGGGGAATTACTGAGAAAAAACTTGTTATATAGTAAAAAGAATGACAGAGCAACAGCAATAATTTCTGAAAACATAGAGAGTCTGCAATGCGCAGGTCTCTTGTTTTGTCCACTATGAAAGCGCAGTTCCTCAGATTGTAGAACGACATCCCTCTCCATCTCTCTCGTACTTGTCTCCTCCAAGAAGCGACAGATCAACGAGACTCGCTCCCACCGCATCTTCGCTGAAACCAAAACGTCAATCACTCAAACTTGTAATGGCGTTGAGTTTCAGAGCCATTCTTCCAAATGGGACACGCTCACTTGCTGCGGTTGTCGCTCTCTCTTCCACTTCTGTCGGTCCCGCGGTGCCGAGCCCGAGCTCAAGTCTTTGACCCAAGGCTTGCTCAAATCGGCCAGGGACCCGGAGTTCTTCTAGAGGATGCGAGACATCAGGAGGAGGATCCATGAGTAGCCAGAGCTCGGGTTCGAAGAGCACCGGACGAGTCAACTCATTAGAGACGAGCTCGACTCTCTCGGGATCAAGTACAACTGGCATCGTCGCTTTCATGGGGTGCGGAGAGAAGCCGGTGTTCGCTCTCAGAGCCGACATGGATGCTCTACCATTGCAGGTGAGCGATCTTTAATGACATACCCGAGTCGAGGTTATGTCAGTGTAATGGGTTTTGGGTTATGTTCTTTGGTACAAACGGAGGTGAAGTGTTTGTTCTTTTGCCAGAACGCGTGAAAGCATGTCAAATGTGGGAAAGTGCTTGAGTAAAAGTAATCAGTCGGTGATGTCTGATAGTCGAACAGGGCCATTGGTTTTGGGTATATACGTGTGGCTAATGTGATTGATTTACCTGTAAGAATCACAGGTAACGCGGGTCTTTGCCGACATTTAGTAATTTGAAGGAGGTTGTCTTGAAATTTCGTGTGAACCATTAGTAAATGCAGAGTAGTTCATGTTTTTGACTCTTTGCTGTCTTTCTAATATGCGTTGATGATCACATGAAGGGACTGGTGGAGTGGGAGCACAAAAGCAAGATTGGCACGAGTTCATACAGCGGAGACCGCCAATGAGACTGTTCAGTCTTCGCTAATAGATCACACAGCATAACACCTGTAGTTCTGCTAGGCCTTGAGCCCCCCCTGAATTTGGGTACAAGATCTGTTCATATCTGAATATTTCCCAATCTACTGGGCATTCGGCCTCGTATTTTTCATGATATTTTCTCTCCATTTATAACTAGGTACTCATGCAAATAAATCTTCCATACAGTTGTTACATTTATGAACTCATGCAAATGGATCTTCCAACAACATTTTTAGCATTACTTGGATACATATAGTTTTCTTCTGGAAAATTGTACACTAGATATCACACTAATTATCAAGCCATAGATGTTCTTGTTGAAGAACAGAACAATAATCAAAAGGCATGGAGGATAGATTAGCAGTGTGAATGTGAGTTACATTCAGTGGGATATAAACTTCGATACCTTGTCTTCTGGCGGATCGTACTAATCATAGTGAGGAAGAATTTCATAGGTGTCATTTTTCCGTCTTTGTTTTCGATTGACTTTTATTCCTGTAATTGAAAATTCTGCTTGTTCTTCCATATGAATCTATGTCAAGGTTGCAGTATCATCAGAGTCCATGTGATCAGCTTATCTATGATTATGTCTTAATTTAGAGAAAGCTTGGTGTGTAAATATAAATTTCCTGCTTATCACTGCAGTAAAATGTTATTTGTTCATCACATTAATGTCAATTTTGTCGGCCTAGGCTTAAGCGTTTACATCACTTGCATTTGTCTGTTTCATTTAACTAAATTCATCACATTCAGGGGGAACAACCAGTTGAACATGTTCAGCATCACACTAACCGGCTTGCATTTCTTCCGGAGAAAACATTCTTTGGCAACATGTTTGGGTGAAATGGTTTGCAAGATACTGGCAGTCTCTGTAAGCCTGTACATTCTCAGAAATTACAAATGGGACGGTACGGACGTATGCTTCTCAACTTCACTTGTACATCACTTACAATCACACTGCAGACATCTTGTAATGGGCATTCACGTACGTGAAGTAGGACAGCAAAAAAAAAAAAACCACAGAACGCACAACTAGGTCTGCTCTTTCCTGTTCCCTGATGGAAGAGTACTTGGTCTCTACAGCACTTAAGAGTGGCACTATGAACATGACTATCCAATTTTGTTGCATTGATGCCTGAAGTCTCAGCTTTCTCTTAGCCGTTCAAGGGAAGAGTGTTATATTTGGGAATGCAATTTGTAGGGTCATCCTGACCGATACGTATAGGTGAAGTGGGTGAATTGGATACATAAAATCTCTTCCGTAACTTGTTTAGACGAGGCAACGGTTAATTTCTCTTCTGTATGACGTTGCATCCATGGTGGATCCCCTCTTTAAGACTTCTGACCCCATATGCTTTTAGGCCATAAGTTCATTCTACAATTCAAATTACCCGATTTGTACTTTAGATTACCAGCCGCCATGAAGCAATGGATCAGTTCCTGCACTTTATAAAACTTACTACATAACAATGAAATAAGATGCATGAATTTCTATAGCAATGGAAGACCCTTCAAATTTATTATGCTCTTTGGTGCATGTGGCGTCCAAGTCATGAACAGGGTTGAGGAGAAGAAAAAGTTGTATTTCAAGCATTTCACCATGTCATAGGCAATATGGAAAATGGATCGAGTACCTGTTGTGCTGCGGATCTCCTGCTTTGAATAATTCTCTGCATTCTTTTCACTGAGAGCCTGTACTTATTCAAGCATGATGGCAAAACTTAATTAGTAAGGACAAACATGTAATATATGCACGGAGTTGTCTCCTTGTATCAGAGTACAATACACCAAGAGATATTATAGTAGATCTATTCTTACCTTGAGCTCCTCCGTAGTCCATCTGTTTTCAGCAAGCCAATCACTCTCAGATATAGTAAGTGGAAGACCCTTGTTACGCTCGTGATCCACTTGCAATTTGTGTGTATGTTCCCTATACTGTCTTTGCATATGTTTTAGCACGAACCCGCGATCTTTCTCCGATAGTCCACAATGATTCCAGTTGCATCAGAAACGAAAGGAAAAATGCATACATCATAAAAAACAAGTAACTCAACAGAGAAAATGCATCCCATCACTCAATACATCAGTGAAAATCACAGTACATGTCTCAAGAATGACCAGTTGGATCTTGCAATGTAAAGAAGTGAGGTTTTACCTAATCTAGAAAGGAAAAGATACCCCAAAAAAAAATTCTATAGCCTTGTGATAATTTGCTTCTCCTTCTATTTCAGTATCCTCCACCTCTTCTTTTATCTCATCATCATTATCTATACTCAGTTCACTTCCTTCTCGATCAGGACAACTCAACTCGACGAAACTTAGTCGGAGGCGATCAGTGGCAGTGACCCAACCTGGAGGACTTATCTTGACTAAACTTCATCGGAGGCGTCAATTGAGAGAAAACGAATATTTGTTCCTATAGGCCTAATGCATTTGTATATTAATTGAATATTTAAATACTAAAGCACGTATTCATCTAATTGTTTAAGTTTTTTGAACAGTCGACAGTGTCTTCACAAAATCTCACATGGTATCAGAACGGACGTCCTGAGTTCAAATCTTTCCAGGCTTCTATCTGCCTCCCTAATAAATATTTCCACGCAGGTAATTGGCAAAATGACCCTTTTTAAATAGGGTTAATATCACAAAAACACCAAAGTGGTAGACATGTGACAAATTTTCTTCCAAATTAATTTTTTGATCACCAAAAATCTCAAACTAGTACACGTGTGACAAATTTACCCCAAACAAATTTTTTGACCACCAAAAACCCCAAACTAGTACACTTGTAACAAATTTACCTTCCGTCAAATTGGATTAATACTACGAAAAATCATAAATTGATAAATCTATGACAAATGGAGGGGTAAAATCTCAAACTGGTATACTCGTCAACTGCCACGTGTCATCCAACTCAACAATTTGACAGTAAAATTTAACGGAAACTAATGAAAGGTAAATTTGTCAAATATGTACCAGTTTGGGGTTTTTTATAGTAAAAAAAATTAATTTTGGTAACTTTTTCATATGTGTACCAGTTTAAGATTTTTCGTGATATTAACCATTTTAAATATTAGACCATGCCTTCATCTAATAACTTAAACTTTTGGAACAGTCGGCAGTCGTCCCACAAATCTCACATGGGATAAGTTAGATAGGATAGAAGACCACATGCCTTTGTCAGATTGAAAAAAAAAAATTTGGGAGAGAGAAATGGGAAAATATTAGAGGTAAAATGAAATAGGAAAGTGAGAAACTAGACTCGAAATTTCATTTTGCTTTAACTCAATTAGTAAATCACATGTTTCGACCCAAAAAAAAATCGCATTCGCATTTCTTAATTAAATTATAATAAGGCGATTTTATAAGTCTTTTGAATGTCAATTAAACTACCGATCGGCG